TTTTTGTTTTTTTTTTTTTTTTGTTAAAAATCAAGTGTCTGTAGGGTTGTGGGTTTATTTCTGGGTATTTGATTTGATTCCATTGATCTACCTATCTGTTTTTATGCCAATACCATGTGGTTTTTATTATTATTGCTCTGTAGTACAGCTTGAAATCAGGGATCATTATACCTCCAGAAGTTCTTTTATTATGCAGGATTTGTTTTAGCTATCCTGGGTTTTTTGTTTTTACATATGAAGTTGAGAATTGTTCTTTCCAGGTCCGTAAAGAATTGTGTTAGAATTTTGATGGAAATTGCATTGAATTTTAGATTCTTTTGGTAAGATGGCCATTTTTACTATGTAGAGAATTGCTTCTTCAAGGTCTGTAAAGAATTGTGTTGGATCTTATGGAGGCTCTTTCCTTTCAGATGACTTTATCTTCTGTTGAGTTGACATAAAACTATCCTACACACCACCTGGAAAAAAAAACAAAAACCAAATGCCCGGCATGATAAACCTTCCTTTGAGTTGTTGGTCAGAGTTGCTCAAGAGACTCCCAAAGCCTAAGCCTACAGTTGTTACCCTGGGCTGCTTCCCAGATGAGGAAGGTAGATGCTTATTGCTGAAGACAACATGCACTTCCTAAAAGGACCTCAGGGGCCCCTGAGCTGGAACTGACCTGAATGTCTCCCCTCTGAGCACTAGTTTTCATGGTACAGGAAAGTACCATGCAAACCTTCAAAGCAGGGAAACAATGGGCAGTCTCACCCAGCTCTGCTGACTATGAACTGCACCAATGACCAAAAGGGCATGATTATCCTAAGCACACTGTAGACATACCTTGGCAGTAATCAACAACTCTCCAACAAGAGGGAAATCATGTCTGGTATTGGAATCCTAGCTAATTACTCAGTGCTAATTAAGCTTAAAAAAAAAATAAAGTACTTCATCTGTCATTTTTGCCCTAAGTAGGCCCAGAGTAATTACTACCTTTGATATTCTTGATGGAGGTATCTCTTGGAATGCATTATTTTGTGACATCAGTTTACTTATTGTCTTTTGCAGGACATCTTTCAGGAAACATGTATGGTGTTGGTAGACCATTAGGCCATTTTCCATGGATTCTGTTGTCTTTTTCAGCAGTGAAAGCATGTCAGCTGTTGGGAGCAGTGCATCCTTCCTTCTTAGGCTTTTTTCCCCCATGCCACCATAATTCCATATATTTTTACTATTGGTTGGGTTTAAGCCTGAAACTCAAGAGTTGGTGTGTTGGTAAACTCAGCTGACATTTGTGGCCTAGGCAGAGAGCCTGCAGGATTTTGTACCCTTCAAAAGCAAACACCAAATCTCAGAATTGTACCACTTTCTTTCAAGTCATAGTTAGAATTTAGAAATAATGTTATTAAGGTGTGTGTGCATGTGTTTGTGCGTGTGCGTGTATGTTGCTGAAATGACCAAAATGTTCATTTTAAACTGAAGAGACCAAGGTATATTTAACTCTTTAGTCATATGGAAAAGTAAGAGGAAGGAGAAAAAGCCTGGAAACGCAGCCTAGTATTCATTATCTTTTTGTTTGTTTGAGTTTGAGGGGCATTGCTTGTTTTCTTTTTTTAAGGGTTTTATATTGTTTATCAATTGTGTGTGTATGTGTGCACATGTGTGTTGATGTGGACAACCCGTTGCATGCACGTAGAGGTCAAGTGATAACTCTCAGAAGTTAATTTTCTCCTTCTACCATGCTTGTTCTAGGATCAGACTCAGGTGTCTGGGCTTCACAGCTTACACCTTTGCCCACTCAGCCAGCTTGCTGACCCTCGCTCTCCTGACGTTTGATACACAGTGTTCTTTCTGCTTCTTAGTCCTATGTAATCTGACCCCAAATCAATAGTATTCACTATCCTTGGAAAAGAACCGGATTTGAAGGCTGTTTACCAAAGGCTGAAGTGTTCTCTAGATCTCAGGGGACTTAGTTTTCTGAAGTTAAGGTTGCACGCTCATGTGTTCTTTTTATCATTGAAGGCAACTGGGGTTATGAAGGGTCACGGGAGGGCGCTGTTTCGCGCTAGGTGTGCACTCAACACCAGTTCTTTTTACACATCAGCAGGGAATACTTTTAGTTCCCTTAGTACAGTTTATCATCTACCAGATGTGCACCACAGGGGGCTGGAGAGATGGCTCAGCGGTTACGAGCACCGTCTGTTCTTTCAGATGGTCCTGAGTTCAATTCCACATGGTGGCTCACAACCATCTATAATGTGATCTGAGGCCCTCTTCTGGTATGCAGGCATACATGCAGACAGAACACTCATCTATATAAATTAAATAAATAAACATCAAAAAAATTATTTACTTTTTACATATACAGTGTCCTGCCTGAATGTACACCTGCACGCCAGAAGAGGGCACCAGATCTCATTATAGATGGTTGTGAGCCACCATCTGGGAATTGAACTCAGGACCTCTGGAAGAGCAGACAGTGCTCTTAACCTCTGAGCCATCTCTCCAGCCCAAATAAGTAAATCTTAAAAAAAAAAAAAAAAAAAAAAAAAAAAAAAAAAAAAA